ATAAAAAAAAACTTATGTGCTTTTATTTAGACAAATGGAGAGCAATGGTATATTATGTTTCTTTTATCCAGGTGCCTCCTGAGCAAGTTCCAGTACCCAGACCAGGTTTTGTTTGGAAGATTCTAGGACTCTATCAGACAATAATGTTAACTTCATCAGAGCACATTCGTTGTTAGATCCTGCTATTCCTGGTTTAACAAGGCATCCTTTGATTACCGAGTCAGTTTGTCACACAGGATGTTCAGTATTGCTGTTCACCACAGGTTGGTGCAGAATTTAAATTAAAATTGTACTCTGGTGTATATATTAAATATTTTTAACTTTTATTTAGATAAGAGCCTTAAATGACAAAACCTACGACATGCTGTACATCGGCACGGATGATGGCCGTGTGTTGCAAGCCCTAAATACAGCCCTGGCAGTGTCCCTAAATGCAAGCAATCCTATTTTGGTGTCCGAATGGCAATTGGCACCACAAGGCGAACCCATCAGGGAACTAAGAATGGCAGGTGCTGCAAATAACAGATTTTTAGTTGCTGTAACTGATGAAAGAGTCCTGGCAGCAGATACAAGATTTGTTTGCAAATCAGCTTCCAATTGTCGGGAGTACAACACTGCCACATTTTATACTACAATGTGCTGGAAGATATATTTAACGAGTTTTAATTTCCTAGTGAGTGTCTACAACTAAGAAATCCTGAATGTGCCTACGACCGACGCAACCAAATGTGCATATCTCTACAAGATCACCATATCCCAACAAAGAACGCTTCCTACAGAGTCTAGACCCTGAAGACTACCAATCGGTAGCCAATAGTGATGCAGAACTCTGCAAAAAGTCTCAAACATGGCCAGGAGTGCCTGCTTCCAGACGAAGACCTGATGCCAACAAGGGTCGTGATGAGACTGGACATTCTGGTGATGGAAGCGGGGAAAACAAAAGAATTTCATCGGATGAATTGGATAATGAAATCGTTATTGAACTTGTAGGCTCTAGAGCATTGGCTGATGATGTTGGAGTTTTGAGGAACGGAGGAGGTTTGAATGATAATGGAGACGAAGAAAGGATAGGTAATTGGAATCTTCTTATATCTTGCTTATATTTCATCATATAAATAATTAAATTATAATAACAGTTTGTGTGATAAAGCTTAATAGATAATATTAATCAATAAATTCGCTCTATTCAATTTATGATCAATAAAAACATTATATTTATTAATTATACTTGCAATAAATATAAGAAATTAACTTGTTACTTACAAGCCTCTGCTCCTATTTTGAATCAAACACACTAGAGTCTTATACAAATAACACAAAAAACATTTTAAAGTTATTATACAGTATTAATGGCAATAAAAGAAGCCTAGAAATTTAGTATATTTACAGATTCTTCAACTATTTCGTAATATGTATGTATATTTATATGTTTTTATCTTATTCATACTGTAACGCACTAAAGGGATTAAATTAAAGCACTTGTATTAGATTTATATAGTGATTTGACAAGTTTCTTCATTTTAATGATTTGCAATACTTCCTACTCAATAATTTAGACATATTTAACTAGTAATTATGATATCTTAATTGTGCAATATAATTAAATATTAATTTTGACATTTGAAAATTCAAAATGGTGGTTATAACGAATCAAGAAGTTGTCAGTAAATGTTGCAGTGTTACCACCTTCCAGGATAAAATATGGTTTTTGAATTGTTGACGTAAAACACAAATATACTTTAAAAAGGACTAAAATATGCACATTACGCACATTGTGAATTACTATTCATATTTATTATTTTTCGTATCACTTTTTTCATTCTTTTACTTATATATTAATCTTGATATTTAAAACAATAATTCAAAATGCAAAATGGCGGTTACAACGATATCTTGGTAATTACATTGCCCTTGAGTACTATTTATTATAATTAACTTCGCGAAAGTGAAGTTATATATTCGAGAGAAAATCGTATTCGGTAATTTTATGTTTTTGAACGTATCAAGTCATTCTGAATCGTTTGAGACCTATATAGTCTGTGTGTGAGACTAAATTCGACATTTTGTTATAAGTTTTTAAATTTCGATAGGAAAGGATATGTAATTGGAATTCCTCAACTATCTTGCTTATATAATTAAATTTATATTAAATTCGTCAACTTGGAGCAATCATTCTAACCAATGATTCTTTTTCTAGGTGCTGTTCACCCTGACGTGGGTGCTATCAAATACTCTCGGGCACAATGCATTCTGTGATAATTATATCGAGTTTATTAACCCTGGTATGCGGATTTGCTTTAGGATTTCTGTTTTCAAGGAGAATGAGATACCACAGACAAGGTCCTTATGGGGACCAACACAACCACAGGTTTAAACAATTTAAAATAAAAATGAAATAATAATATGAGCAAGTATTAAATTTGTTATTATTTTAGGCACTTGGAATCGAACTTTTCCACATCAGCCCAATGCTCGCAGTATGTAGTTCCTCCAAACAAAAAACAAACAATGTACCACCCAGCAATATTAATTTACTCAAAAATGTACCGACTTGTGAGAAACAAGATAATCTTCAACACGAATTAGCTAAGCATCACGAATTAAAGAATTCAACAGAGAGTTTAGATAGAATGGGTACGTTGCAAAAGGCAAAGAAAACATATATATGAATCAATTAGTAAAATATGAGAGTATTTGAATTATTAAAAAGCCAGGTGTACCTGATCTACTAATGTGCAATGGTAAAAACATCGATTTGTTCATACTTGCATTTTGCAACTAACCTGATTTATAATTTAAATATTTAAAAGTTTCTCTGAGCAAAACTCAAATGCTCAGAAATTTATGAAGATACATTTGAAAAGATTGTCAAAGTATCTAAAAAAAAAAGCTGTCAATGCTTTTCTACAAATAATTTAAGAGATTACAAACAATTGTTATATTAGTAAAGTAATTATTAAATATGTATGTGAAATAATATTGAATGTATATATATTTTATAACATTAGCAATTACAATTAGTCTGTTTAATAAATATCAACAGACTGAACTTTCAATTATATGTGGATTTAAGTTAGATCTCATCCCGAATAGATTCTAAATATATAAACGCCTTGTAATAGTGCTCTTCCTACTTATGGGGCTGAATATAAATATATTCAGGCAGACGTATTGATGTAATATACGAGTATGGCCTTTGAAATAATAAATTTAGCAATATCTAATTATTTTTGAGACACGTTATAGATGTCTAAATAAATTATATTCAAACAAAGTGTAAATATGACTTTTAGAGTTAAATAAATGTGCACTTTATCACTCAATAAGCTTTAACTATATAAAAAGATATATATATATATATATATATATATATATGTATTTAAAAAGGAATTTAGTATTAAGATTCTTGCCTGAAGAACAAAATAATAATTTAAGCAACAAATAAATGAATTTTCTTGCTATTTTATTATGTATGTCTATTTTATGGTGCACGTTAAACATGCAAACATACATAAAAATGTTAATAATATGTAATATATATGTAATAGTTTTATTCTAAGATATTTTCACTTGTATATAATTTTATTTATAATTAAGTCTTTAAGCAAAAGTGTAAGATCAATAATTTTAGCGCGAGAGAAAGAAAAGCTAGATGAATTGTGATATAAAGAGAACATTTGATAAATTTTAAAATAAACAATAATTTTTAATATATTAAATTCTAAATCTGCTAGATTATACACATTGATATGTATTAATGCTTCCGTCTTTGTAATAATTAATTGTCACTTTTTGTAATAATTAATTGTCACCTTTGTATATTTTTTGAAAATAAAGTTATTTCCAGTACAAATGACTGTTTAAATGTTCATATGATTTAATATTTTGAATACTTTTTAGCAAAGAACGTATAGTTTAAAAATGTAATAAATGGCAATGATAGTGTAATTAATAAAGCAACATTTTTTTTGTTGATTAATGTATTATGATGATTTTATTGATATTTATTGAGATTTATTGATATTATTTGCATTTTATTATTGTATTATTTGTTTGAACTGAATTATATGAATAAATTTAAATTTTATTTAGATTTATAAATATTATATTTATTTTTAAATTAAATAAATATTTGATTTTGTATAATTTTTTTCGATAGAGAATCATGTGATTTAAATATTTTTAATACCAATTTCTTCATATTTTAATTTATAAGAAGAATCACTGTATGTACATAATCTCTATCAATCTTTCTCTATATAATGAAAAAAGTTCATGAACTTATTGCATTCGCAGAGAAAATATTGCATCATAACATGATAATCACATTTAAAGAAAATGAGTCATTGAATTCATAATATTTGAATTTCGCAACATCACAACTAATGGCGGAAAATTTAACGGCGTGAAGTTAGGTAAATATCGGAACAGGGTCGTGGATGCTTTGCCTACTTCAAGGTAGAAAAAAGCTCAGGATAAAGATGATAAAGAAAAGCTGTTACACCAAAAATTATTTTTAAAGTTTTCATAGATTTGTACATTTTAATTTCATTATAAAAATACGTAAACTACTACTCGTGGATTTATTTTAGATTCTCTATAAAATTTAAATCGATTTTTTCACCCGCGCTAGGAAGCCTTAACGCAATGAAGTCAGCATCAAAAGCTAAAGATGCCATTATAGAGAAAAGTCACATCACTTCTTATAGAGCTTTTAATATCATTTAGAATATAACATTGGATTGAAAATTTAAGTAAATGAATAAATACAATCTCTTTTTGAGAAAATAAAAGCGGAGCCCGACTTTAGTCAGCCCTATCGCACTACCTAAAATGTTGGTAGCCATTTCTTGGCACCGTGACAAGCATTTATCAATACAAAACATGAAGTAAATATTTTCTCTGTGTCATAATAAAAGCAAGATTCGAGAACAGAATCCAGACTATTCCAGAAACATTCGTTTTATATAAAACGACGATTTAGTAGAGAAAATTCTTCAGTTACCGTTCGACTAAATCAACAACAACGTTATAGAGTAATAATAAAATATTGCCAAAAGTAAAAACATCGCAAAAAGTATAAAAAAATAGAGAAAAGTGTTTCATTAGGCATTGTGGATTAATATTACAAAAGGTAATTATTTTTAAGATGGTTTAATTAGTGGAAATATGGGCTAATAATGTATTAATTAGACGCAATATGTTAATTGAGTTAAAAGTGCTAACGAGGGGACTTACCCGTGTTACAAAATATTACGACATAATACGCAATTATAGAGAAACAAATATTATCAAAATTGTTAATAAACCACAATTAATTGGTCTAAATGATATAAAATGCCAATATCAATTTATACATTATAAAAACAAAATGTCAAAAAAAAAAAAACAATGAACTGCAAAATATTTATACACCATTGCAACACTTTTATAACCACTTTTTTCTAAATCTTTTCCTTAAATGTATAAGCTAAGTAAGTAGAATAGTAAATGTATAAGCTAAGTAATTAAATATATCAATTTAATAACCAACTTCTTCTATCTAGTAAACATGGAAATCGGCAACGTGGCCTTCAAAGCATTCCTTTACACAGATAAAAATTCTGAAAACCATGAAGAAGTAAGGTGGTTTCACGTGGACCAAAATGCTGTGGTGTCTTTGGATTTGGTTAAACAGAAATTGGTGTCAACATTCCCACGCTTGGTAGACCGAGAATTCAAATTATACTGGAAAGGTAATAATGAAAACATAAAAGACTTTACATTGGTAATCTAATTTTGTTCTTTTTTTACCAGATTGCGATAATGACTTGGTTCTCATATCAACCGACACCGAATTGCTAATCGCTTTAACCAACATCACTACTGAACCCAGACGTCTCTACATTTATCTGGAACCAACTCAAAACAACCCCTCAAACCCCTCAAACCCCAACAACAATGTTCATCATGTCGGTGTGGTTTGTGATGGTTGCGGAGGAGAGAAATCTATGGATATAGATACAAGTGTGTAGAATGCCCTGATTTTGATCTATGCTCCCGTTGTGAATCCAATGGGGTGCACTCTGAACACTGTTTTCTGAGACTGACTGACTTTACAGCGGTAAGAGCGAGATTGTATTATAATTGTGATGAAGGTGTGTAAATGTTTAATATAAAGGGTTTATTACAGACACGGCGCTTGAGAAAATGTCTTTCAGCCAGCAGAAAGATGTTCAGGCATTGTGATCGTGAGGCAGGCAAACATGGAAAACGCCATGGAGGACATCCAAGGTAAGAAAATATAAAAAAAATTAACATTGCTTTAAATAGGAAGTGAAACTTCATTGAAATAGAAAGAAATAGTATAATCAAGTTTGATTTATAGAAAGTTTTCTACAAAATTTGTACCTGAGATAGTTATAGTTAGATCATTAAATTTTTCAAATAATTTGCAATATTTTTAAATAATATACAATTTTTCATCAGGCACCCCATAACATTTTTAAACAATTTGCAACATTTTCAGACCATTTACAACATTTTCAGACACTTTAAAACATTTTCAGACACTTTAAAACATTTTCAGACACTTTAAAACATTTTCAGACACTTTAAAACATTTTCAGAGAATTTAAAACATTTTCAGAGAATTTAAAACATTTTCAGAGAATTTAAAACATTTACAGAGAATTTACAATATTTTCAGACCATTTGCAACATTTTCAGAGAATTCACAACATTTTCAAACCATTTTCAACATTTTCAGACACTCTGCAACATTTTCAGAGAAGTTACAATATTTACAGAGAACTTACAACATTTTCAGAAAATTTACAACATTTTCAGAGAATTTACAACATTTTCAAACTATTTACATTTTCAGAGAATTTACAACATTTTTAGAGAACATTTTCAAGCCACTTACAACATTTTCAGACCATTTACAACATTTTTAAAAGATTTACAACATTTTTAAAAGATTTACAACATTTTCAGACCATTTACAACATTTACAGAGAACTTACAACATTTTCAGACCATTCACAACATTTTTAGACAATTTACAACATTTTCAAACCGTTTACTACATTTTTAGATAATGTACAACATTTTCAAAGAATTTACAACATTTTCAAAGAATTTACAACATTTTCAAAGAATTTACAACATTTTCACACAATTTTCAACATTTTCAGAGAATTTACAATATTTACAACGTTTTCATACATTTTACAACATTTTCAAAGCATTTACAAAATAATTAGACCATTTACAAGATTTTCAGACGATCTAAAATATTATCTGAAAATTTACAACATTTTCAGACAATTTTCAAACCATTTACAACATTTTCAGAGAACTTACAACAATTTTAGACCATTTACAACATTTTCAGAGAATTTACAACATTTTTAGACCATTTACAATATTTTCAGACAGCCTACAACATTTTCAGACACGCAACAACATTTTCAGACACTCAACAACATTTTCAGAGAATTTACAACATTTTCAAAGAATTTACAACATTTTCAGAGAATTTACAACATTTTCAGACACTCTACAACATTTATAGAGAACTTACAACATTTTCAGACACTCTACAATATATTCAGAGAATTTACAACATTTTCAGACCATTTGCATTATTTTCAAAGAATATACAACATTTTCAAAGAATTTACAACATTTTCAGACACTCTACAACATTTATAGAGAACTTACAACATTTTCAGACACTCTACAATATATTCAGAGAATTTACAAAATAATTAGACCATTTACAAGATTTTCAGACGATCTAAAGTATTTTCTGAAAATTTACAACATTTTCAGACAATTTTCAAACCATTTACAACATTTTCAGAGAATTTACAACAATTTTAGACCATTTACAATATTTTCAGACAGCCTACAACATTTTCAGACACTCAACAACATTTTCAGACACTTTACAACATTTTCAGACCATCTACATCATTTTCAGAGAATTTACAACATTTTCAAAGAATTTACAACATTTTCAAACCATTTACAATATTTTCAGATACTTTACAACATTTTCAGACACTTTACAACATTTTCAGACACTTTACAACATATTCAGACACTTTACAACATTTTCAGACACTTTACAACAGTTTCAGAGAATTTACAACATTTTCAAACCATTTACAACATTTTCAGAGAATTTACAACATTTTTAGAGAATTTACAACATTTTCAGAACATTTTCAAACCATTTACAACATTTTTAGAGAATTTACATTTTCAGAGAATTTACAACATTTTCAGAACATTTACAACATTTTCAGAGAACTTACAACATTTCAAACCATTTACAACATTTTCAGACCATTTATAACATTTTTAGACAATCTACAATATTTTCAGAGGATTTACAACATTTTCAGACACTCTACAAGATTTTCAGACACTCTACAACATTTTGAAAGGATTTACAACATTTTCACACAACCTACAACATTTTCAGACCATTACAACACTTTCAGACAATCATCCCTCTTACTCTTTATTTCCCTCACAGAACTATTAAAAAACCCTTAACTCAACTTGTTGAAAGTCGCTTTAGAAGTTTCCCTAAATAAATGCATAATAAAAACTTCCATCAACCATTAACACATTTATTTCTTCCATCAGACACGGATGGTACGAGCTACTTTCCCAGTTTGTTGCTGACATAAATTCGCCCGAGGAAGAAACAAATAAAGACAATGAAAAAGCAGAAAGTAACGCCCAGAAGGAGGCTCCAAAGGTCCAGGTAATAAATTGATTACTAAAATATATATTCATGTGTGAATCCAAATTGATATTAATATGTTTGTATAATTATTTTCAGCAAATGTCCCTTTATGGCCCCAAAAAGCTCAGGTGACTCCGGTAATAAGGAAAGTGATTGTCATGTTAGTTATTTGAGGAATATTGGTCAAACTATCGCTAGCTTGTTAGATCCTTTAGGTATGTAATAATAAAAGTTTGATATTAATTTTTATGTAGTCATGAATTTGTATATATTTATTTGTATATTTTATTTTTATTGTTAATAAATATAGCTTTGTTGATATCTTGTGTTTAATATTATACTTTACTAATTAATTTGGTAAGATTAGCTTTGTTACAAGACAATTTTGAGGTTATATTTTATGTTTTATCAACTATCTATTTCATTTAGGAATTGATGTTGATGTGGAAGTACGCTCCAAGGACAAACCCAATGATAAAATGGAAACAGAAAATCAAACAAAGGACAACGAACCAAAACCATCAACCAGCAAAACTGACTCTACTCCTAAACCAGCAGAAACCAACAATACCAACAGAGCTGTCCTGTATTTCCACCAGACTACGTTCCAATTTACATGGACACAAATGTGCACACACCAATTGTCAGTGCTTTTGTCAACGGACAACCTGTTAATGGACAACCGACTGCAGAAGGAGCACCTGCTAATGGTGAACCACAAGTGAAAGTGGGAATGAGCGCTTTTGTTAATGGAGTTCCAGTGTTTTCTACATCCCCAAACAGTGAACCTCAAGCGACAACTGCACCGTCTGCACCAGAAAATACTAAAGACAAAAAAAATGAACCCGAAGGTGGTTGGACTCTGATTGATGATGCATCATCAACTTCAAGCGAAGATAATTCCACAGCAAGTAAAAAACAAACTACTGGTGGCGAGGGTGACTCTGCTAAGAAAGATGAAACAACTAAACCAGCACAACAGGCTGAAAATAATCAGCAATCTCAATCAGGATACGCTGGAATTTATCCAAACATGGGTCCCATCTATGGTTTCCCACCAATGTCTTCACAGTTTATGAATCAGGGTCAGAATATGCCGGGTGCAGGTTACCCTGCATTTATGCCAAACATGCCACAGTTCTATCCTGGAATGAACAATTACCCGCAGATGGGTCAAAACTATACAGCACAAGCCCCAAACCCTGGTTTTAATTTTGACAACATGGCCAGGGAGCTACAAAGACACTTGCAAACACAGTTTGCTGGTGCCAGTAAGTAAAAGATAAATAATATGAAAAAGATCTCTTGAATTTACTTATTTGTGGTATATTTTTAGTGAATGCAGCTTCTAACGTGGCAAACAACATAAACAATTCAAGACCTTCTTCTGTAAACAGTGAAGCAAATGGAAGTCAAAATAATGATCTAACGCCACTGGGGGTGCTTCCAAACAAGTGTAAAACATTCACACACAAATTGGCTGCTGATTCCAGAAAATAATTAATAATTTAGAAGTAGGAGAATGAATTACTTTAGTTTTAAGTTTTATATATATTTTGTGATCCTATTTGGTAAATATATTCACACTATGCATAATCCTTTATAAATATCAATATTTAGTTAATATATTGTCATAAATCACAATATGAAATGGTATATTATAGAGAAATATGTTTTATTTTAAGGAAAAGGAGACTTCAATATTATTTTTTAGACTTAAGACACAAATGTATGTGATTTCAGAGTTACTGGTTTAATTGAGTGATTCAAGTTGGTTGTTGCACTTAAGAAATTTAAAATAATATAGAAAAGTTTATTATATGATAATCAAGTTGATGTATTATGGATATAATATTAATAAAGTATTAAAAATAATTGTGTTTAATTATAAAAATATGCTGTTTAATAGAGAAATATGAGCTTCAAATGAGAAATTCAATAAGTAATGAGAAACTGAAATGTTTTCTTAGAAAATTTAAAAGATGATGATTGATGGATAGATATCTTTGAATATTTGAATATTGAGTACGGAACTGTTCCATCTTTATAACATCTACAAAGAACATAATAGTGATTAGAAAATAAAACTAATATAATGCAAAATATATAAACAAATGGAAATAAGATATAGTATGTTATATAAATGAAGAAAAGTTAAACATGAATCATGTAAAAGCTTGTGATCTGATCTTATATCAACACTATTAGAAGAGTTCATAAACATAAAACAATTTTCTGTAAATAATCTCATAAAACAGCTTACTGTAAATAATCTCTTAAAAGTTTCGATTTTCATATTTGAATTATAACCATATTCTCATAATGACAGTTGAAGAATACATCCTACCAACTTCAGTTATAATGCTCGGTGTTGACAGTTCATACATAGCGCGCGCGAAACTTGAATATTAAATTTTATTGTAAGAATGTTGTCCAATCTTATTCTGTATATTATAATCCATTTATTTATATACTTTATATCACCTTTTTATATATCTTCCACTCAAGATTCTATTCTTGACAAAAGTCAAGAAGATGGAACAAAGATAGTACCAAAATTTTGATAACAAATAGTATTTTTTTGAAAAACATTTCAGTTTTTTTTCTCACAATTAGATTCTTTGTTTGAAACTCAACACAATATACACAAATCCAAGACTCACTAACATATATTTATATATACAGTAATATTCCCCTTAACAATGCTTCGGTTTAAAGCTCCTTTTTTCCAGATCATATGAAATTGTTACATAAACAGTGACATTTTGCAAAACAAATTGACTTAAATGTGATACATGTGGAAGACGTTAAAGATATCGTTAAAAAAACAACAGATAGTCTTTCTATCAATGAAAAAGCCCCGAACCCTGGGTTTAACTTTGACAACATGGCCAGGGAGCTACAAAGACACTTGCAAACACAGTTTACTGGCGCCAGTAAGTAAAAGATAAAACAATAAATGAGCAAGAACAAAATGACAATACTGATAGTAGTGATTTTGTCCCTCAAAAAAGCAAAAGAAACTTCAATGGTCAATGGTAAATAAATCTTTGACCACTATGACTGAATTTATGGATCAAATGTTAAAAATGATTCAAATTGTAATAAATAATTTAATAACAACTTTAAAAGAATGCAGAAGAGAAAAACGAACTATCTTTGACCTTTTTCATACAGAAAAGAAAAAATGGACATGCAGAGTAATCTGATTGAATTACAATTCAATTTATTCTTATTAAAATTATTTGCTTCATTTTTGTGGTAAATAAATGTTTGATTTGGTAATAACTATATTAATTTTTATTAAAAATTAACACAGTTGTTAAATTCAATGCATAGGCATTTTTTATCAATTTTCCTACATGTTTACTCTTGAGTAAATGTAACCCCCACATAAAGCCCTGTATTCCTGTATGCGATACTAAAAGTAATTTTTAAGACAAACATGTCTCCGCCTCTCCCACATATAAATTTCAATCAGAACAAATAAATTGCATATTCTTTAAAACTTATACTTTACTTAATAAATGCAAAGGCATCCACTTACCTTAACAAACTAATACAGAATCTTAGAAATACTATATGTAAATTTATATAAAACATTGAAGTTTTAAACAGTCATAGTCCTTTCATCATCAGCAAGTCGTCATTCCTATTGGAAATGTTATTTCCCAGATCATTGGCTTTTTCATTATACTAAAGTTAAAGCTTAAAAAGTAGGATAGTTAAAAAATATTGGCAATCATTTTTATAGAGTATCAGGGGTCTCTGAACTCATATCAAATCGTTTTGCATCCTCATCCTCTGAAGCTTGCTTCATATCTACAAAAAAAAATTAAAGTATAAAAGACACAGTAACAAGGTGATTATGCTAGTTTATTACCTGGGGACACTAAATTCGGCATAACAACTGGAACAGGGCTTACATTGCTTGATTTTTTATGTTCAAGAGGAGCCTCACTCATTTTTGCTCTCAACTGTTGTAAATTTTAATTAGTAACTGAAATTTAAATGGAAATAAATTTAAATCAGTGCTTACCTCACTGATTTCTTCTTCCAGTTTTTCATTTTTCTCTTTCTGTTCTTGAAGTGCTTGTTCAACAGCAGATTTTTCAACACGCAACACTTTTAAAACACCGGCTCTACTTTCATCAAGTCCTTTTATATTTTCAAGATTTGTTTCACAAGACTCTAATAAAGACTGCTGTGCTTTTCAGATCTACAATGATAAAATATAAGAAGAAGTTGATATTGTTATATTCATATTATATTGTGATAAAAATTGTTATTGTATTGAAGTTATTTGTAAAATATTGAATTTAAATCAAGTCTATCTTTCTATCTGTTATTAAACCTACGTTTCTAGTTCCTTTATCCTGTCATCTTTCTCATTTAGTTGGTCACTAAGTGAACGCAATTCTTTAGTAGCCTTTATTTGATTTGCATTCGATAAGCCTTCTGCAGCTTCCAGTCTACTTTCTGCAATGCTTCTTTCGCTATCACATAAACTTTTCTGTGATGAACTGAAAAAAATCATTACAACCATTAAAACATATCATAATAAAAAGAAATATGATATATGCAAATTTTGAGTTAGGTTAGTTTAACCAATACAATTTTTAATATGTAAATATCTTGAGTATTTTTTTAAGAAACACACTGAATATTTTTACATAATTAGATTATTATCTATATCATTTATATTTACCATTTTTTTAACTGATCGCCCATCTCCTCGAGCTCTTTAAGAATGTCATAATTTTGTGATGATAGTGTCCACCAGTTGCATGTTAATAAGACGCAAGCTACTAATAAACCCGCTACAAGGAATGGGGGGCATCTTCCTGAATTCACACGCATTGTATCGAAACCCATCTGGAAGAAATAATAATTAATAAATATAAATATGATAAAATAAATCTTTAAATAAATACAATTTTGAAGTTCTATCATTTTACTATCTTAAAAACAAAAATGGGGAAAGTTTAGAGCTTAATTAGCTAATTTATATTGATATATAGGATTTATATTAATATATAGGATGACTACGAATTATCTAATAAATATTTATTTAAATTGGATAAGTAAAATAAGATATTTTCTATGTATAATTTGACAACAAGTGATAATGTTAATTATAAAGCAAAGCATCATTTTATTCAATTACAAATGACCAGTAATTTATGTCTATTAACGGCTTTAACAGCCATCAAAGAATTTTTCTTATTAATTCCCAAAACCACGTATTATTTATTTGTTTACTCTACCTCAGTCAGATCTCTAAAGTTGCTTTATCATAACCAATTCTGTTTTTACGAAGGATTAATCGTATCTATTACAATATTTAAACGATTTAAGGATGCACAATTACAAAATTACTTGTTAAATTGTTAAACAATTATCATTGAACAATCTTTTGCAAAATATTTGACAGCGACAGCTTTGCATGTGGCATACATGGTGTTGCCAGATTAGGTCCTAGCAAAGACGTTGGTAGGCGTGGCTTAACGCAATGGGCGAAAAAAATACTTTAATTTTTAATTTAAATTGTTAAATATATTCTATTAAAGTGGATTATTTTAAAATTTGTCGTAAAAATTAATTAGAATGTCTTCTAATATAATATCTGGTTGATATAAAAAGAAAAAAATGGGTTTCTCTAATCATGAACAGTATAGTGTTTAATATAAATAATATCACTCATTATTGAACCATATTATATTATATGTATATACTATATATTTATAAATATGTGTTTAATAATTAAAATATCAATATTATTCGGTTTATTAAAGAATTGAACTAAATAGCACCTTTATACTTTCTTAAATTCAAATTTGGTGGGCGTTACTTAACGCAGTGGGTGTAGCCAATACAAAAACCTAATTTTACGGTTGGTTTTAAATTTTAAAATACCGTGAAAAATTCAATTGAAATTTAAATTATTTAGCAATTTATATGCTTTTTTAACACCCAAATCATCTGATAACTATATGTATGTATTTTAAATTAAATTGTGATTATTTTAATATATATAAAAATGCTAGTTCAATTCTGTAATAAAAATCCTTATATAATATGAATAGTTCAATCATTGAACATATATTTATAAATACTTGTTTAATATATAATTACAATATAATGTAATAAAGTTAATGATATTTTATTAATATTCTTAATATTTTATTAACCTTATTCCCAGTCGGTATCAGTTTCACTCTCAGTGTTTCTTTCTAACTTTGGAGGCGGTGGAATCATTGCTGATATTTTATCCATGACACTTCCATCACCTCGATCTTTACTCATAACATTAGGAGAGCTATCTGATTTACTGCCAGAGATTCCTTTACGTCTCATTGATAATTTAGCATGAAGATCTGCCATAAGATTACCAGGACCAGAAGTTGATGGTTTCTTTTCTACAAACTCCTGATAAAACATAATATATATTATTGATGTATACTATTGTATCAGATAAATTTTGTTCATCATATTACATACATCTTGTAATGGTTTAGCGGCCCTAAGTTTAGCCTTTCCTACGCCTCCAGCTTGTCTAATAGCAGCCATTAAATTTGCTCTACCGTCTGGACCGGATGATGCTTTTGTTTGAGGTGTACTGACTGGTTCTGGAAGCGTTGGTGGCAAGGGAGGTGGTGCTAACATCGGAGGCCTAATAATAAATATACCATAAAGTCCAGGATGTAAATGTTAATTAATATTAAAGTTATGTCATTAAATCCTTACGGTGGAGGTGGTACTGAAGGTACTGCAGGAATGGAAATATTTTGAGTATTTAGTTTTAACTCAGGTTGTTCATTAACATTTGATGTATTTTTATTGCATTTTTATCAGTTTCATCAATTCTCTTTGCTTTCTCTGCAGAAACATCTATAAATAGATGAATATAAAAAAATACTGAATAAAAATAAGAATGTACTCTCACATACCTGGCAATTTTATGTCTGGTGATTCAGATATGCTTTGTATACTTCTATTGTCGTCAACAGAACTACTGCTTTTAATTTCTGATAAATCTGGTAAATCTAGAATAGTATTACTTGGGCTATTAAGCAGAGATGGTGCTATAGCCGGCCCGGATTCAATAAAATCATAAGATATATCATCTGCTATACCTGGATGCAAAGATTTATATAAATTATTACTGAAAATTTATTTATTTATTTCAAAATGTACCTGGCAGATCTGGTAAGTCTATGGGTACATCTAATTGTGGCACCTCTCCAAAATTTGGAGAATAAAAATAAGCATCTGCATAATTTTTAATAGTATTAAATCTATTTGAAATGGAAATAGGTGCTTCTTCCATATCCATATTATTTGTACTATTTTTATCTAATCCATAAGCCTTGCTGTTGCTGCTAGAATTTAGAGGATCAAGAGAGACATATCGGTCATAAGGATTTTCTTTTGTATTGTACAAAAGCATAGACGTCACTGAATTTATGTTTGGTGGAATAAAACCAAGCCCTTCTTCAGGAATTTTCTTTGCCTCAGTCCTAAAAACAACATTGAATTTAGAATTAAGTAAACAATTGTACACCATCTTTTATTACTTTTTCTTTTCATTGGATTTAACGTGAAAGAAATGCAATCTTTCATTGAGCAGTTTTTCATCATATTCCAAAGGTTTTGAGATAATTGTTGCATCATGTTTGAATCTTAAGCTTTCATCTCTTTTAAAAGTGGCTTTTGGATATTTGTGGACGTGACTTGCTGGATATTTGGCACTTGAATACACAATTGTTGCCTTTTTGCTGCCAACGAGTTTATTAATTTTTTCATTGGCTTTATCTATGCGCTCCTTAAGAGCTGCTGTTCTTTGACAATTTTCATCTATTCTAGCATCTGGAAATGGAAATATAATATAAAAATCATAATAAAAATAAAATGCAGTCATTGGTAGTAGAGCTATATTAAATGATTACTTTGTGTTTAACTAAATTAGATGTGTATATTCAATTTATTAATAATAAAGGGCTTTGTTGAAATAATCTATAATGTTTACATATTATAAAACTTACCTATTTTGTTAAACACATCATTAACCGTATTTGTCAAATATTCCAAAGAATTTGCAATTTGTAAAATTGTTGTTTCAACTGGCAAGTCGGAATGAATTATTGGCACGTTGTAAATGTCCTGCATTTTCATGTATTAACTAAAAAGATGACCAATTCTTTATTATGCACAATCACTAACTAAAATTCATGTTTATTTACAATATTTAATTTTTTCCACTGACATATTTGACGTACGTCATGATTAACCTTAAATGGCTGACAGTTTGAGCCATACAATATGAGAATAATATCTAGACTAAATAAAATTATATATTAATCACTTATTGATTGAAATGTAATAAAAATAAACCAAGTATAAGAAATAAAAATAAATTAAACAAATAGTGATAAATGCCTGTGAGATTCTTCATATTTAAATTTTATATTTGAAATTCGCGCTCTTTGTGATGGTGGCAGCCATGTTTCTTGACAGTTTAAATATTTTAAACGAATCGATATAAACTTTAAAAATAAATCCATGAGTAGTAGTAGTTTACGGATTTTCAAACAGTATACATACTTAGTTATAGAATATTTAATATAATACAAGTAGAGCGAATTTCAAAGTTCCAGTGGCAAATTGCTAGTAGTAAGAGCTATATTACCCTATGGGAAGTGAATAATTGAAACACATACTATAATATAATAAATCTTGCATGATATATTCGTCAATGACTGAAAATAATTTATTTTTATTAATAACTATTAAGTATTTATAAAATTTACCCCAAAAATAAATAATAAGAGCAAAAGTTCATCTGCTCCAATATCTGAATGGCACATTCTCCAAACTGTGGTGGGCCACATATTAATTGGTATGTTGGCTTTGGTCGATTGGACAAAATATCCATTAAACTGCTTTTACTAATTCTGCCGTGCTCTCCATTCCATTGTGTATGTGGCTCGGTTAATACAAAAGTCACACTAAACCGTGGATGCTTCTGTTGAAGTTCCAACAGTTTGTTTCTTATCAGTATGTCTTCTTCTTCCTTGTTATAGTAAACTAATAATATAGACTTTGTACCATAGCTTTTTCTATCTAGTAAGTAGATAATTAGGTTTAAAAAAGGTGTAATACCAGTTCCCCCAGCGAGGAATAAGAAGTCTGAATGTCCTTCCAAAGATGTTAAGTCAAAAGTTTGCACACTTGGTTTTATCAGTACTGGTAACGGAATAGTTACATCATATAATTTCGATGTCAATTCACCTTTAGGATATAGCTTAATCAAGAGTGAAAAAAGTGCATTTTTTGTAGGACTACTTGTGTATGAAATATTTATTGGTGTATAACATCGCTCGACAACGATACCTGGTTTATCAAATTTCATGATTACATGACCACCCAAGGGTAAATGTAACCCCGCAATATTATGATTTTCTAGGGTCATGATGTAGGTGTTTCGCCCTACCTTTTCCTGCTGGACAATAGTATAATTATCAAACTCCCCAAATTCTTGACTCACATCCACTTTTGATAATTTTCCAAAATTTTCCCACATACCCTCTTTCACTTTAAGACATTTCAGTTCAATCTTTCCAGTATGATGTGTGACAATAATGTTCATGGAAACTTTACTTCATACAAAGGATGTAAGGTGTACTTAAAGTACTCCTTGGCATATTGTAATGTGATTACCAAATCATTGCAAGAACTCATATTTGCACAAATGTATGGGTTTGAAAACTTGGCAGTATAAAAAACAAAGGTAATCCATGACTGAGTCTGCATCCAATCAAAGCGTGGTGATTGCTTTGTATTTTTAAAGTTCTGTGTACTTGAATTAGTAAGCGTTTCATCAAGTTTTTCTGTTGGATTAATATTTTTGTTTACTTTATTTGTTTCTTCTCCATATAATTTTTCATTTACACTTAAATTATTAGAAATATTTTGACTTAGTTTTGGCTTGGGTAAGTAATCAACCTGAGGCAATCTTGGTCGCCTTAACATATTTTTACTGCTAAAATTTAATTCGTCTAGGGGAGATGGTATATCTGAAACCAAGGGTCCAAAAACACACTTCTGCAGTATTGTCTGATAATTACCCAAGCATGAGCAGCGTCAAAAAGTGCAGTAGCATCTTTACCTGCACCTCGCATTAATTCTTCATGTCCTCCTGGATGAAAACTTAAATACCTCGTTACATTAAAAACTTGACCCCTAATTGCCAGCCAAAGATCATCTGCAGATGCATGTTTGCAAAGTTCTGCTTTATTTACTCGAATGATTTTACCTTTGGTTCCAGATAAGTCAATTCCAGAATTTCCTAACCGTATCCAATCCATTAGAGAGTGTCCAGGAGCCAAGGCTGTTTTGTTTCGGGGATTGCCAGTGGCAGAAGAGCTTGATAAAAGAGCCCTCGGAGTCTTCTTGTCATTTTCAAGCTTTGAGTTCGTATTATCTGAATCCGATGATTGCGTTTTACGATCACGAATATCATTCGTGGGGCGCATCTTGAAATGCCGATAGTTGAATAACAAAGTTATTCCCCAATAATTTACATATATACAAAATAATAAAAGTTTTCTTGCATTTTAACTAGTTTATCACCAGATACAAAGCGAACCTGCAAGCATTTAATGAAAGTTTCTAACCCTAAACAATACTTTATTATTAAACATTTACTTTTTTACTTACACTTTTCATTTTTCTGGCGTTTACGTTCAGAGAGCTAACGAAAGCTTCTTACGTCATGATGCTGTCCAAGGTTCATATAAAATAATGAAATATTATAAATGGAAATTAAACAAATAATGACAAATGTCAGTGAGATTCACCATAATTAGATTTTATATTTGAAATGCGCGCTCGTCGAGACGGCCATCTTTCTTGACAGTTTAATAAAAGCGCGAATTTCAAATATAAAATCTAATTATGATGAAAATCACTTGCATTCTTCATTATTTCTTCAACTCATTATATATATATATATAATATATATATATATATATAATGAATATATTTCAATTATTTAATTTCCCTTATTACTAATTACTACTTCCATTAAAATAAAACAATTCCATGTAATTAGGTAACAAATTTATTTTTGAAATTTATAGTATTTTTTATTCAATCTTATGTTCAGCTCTCCTGTCCATTATAACAAAGAAAAAAAAAAGAAAACTTGAGACGCCTGCAGTGATCGGCTCAATAGAATATTATACATGATTAATGATTTTTTTTTGTTTAGTTTATCTCCTCATATATACAAGCATGTCTACATATTCATACATTTACATATACAAATAAAATAATTATAAATAAATACAATAATAATAGATACATGTTTATATGTTTAAGAATCATAATGTGTAAGTACATCAAATTGCATATAAACATATATCCATGTACATATATATGCAAATGTAAATATATATATATTTTCATACACTCATTCGTACAATTTCAATTATTCACAAGATGGAAACCCTTAAGAGCAGTTTAATCGATGAGGTCCTTTTTCTTAGGTGAATTGTCTAAGTAGATTTTCAGGGCTCGCTCTCTCTTGGCGAATGTGTTGATGTTTAAGCTAGATTGTCTTCCAAATCGGTGGGCCTCTTTTGCCATTATCTCACGTTCTCTTCGGCAGTCGCAGTCAATTCTTTCAGTTCTTCATTCTGTCCCTTAATAGATATAAAAAATATAATATCAAGAAATATAATAACAAGAGTTCTTTGAAAATTTGGGAATAGTTGCCAAAGAATAATATATAAATATATTATTCTATTAATTTATTACCTGTAATAGAAAACACTGCCATCTTCGTAAACGTGAAGAGGGAAAGAATCCAATGTATTGGCTTGCGGATTCCATTCTTGGTCGTTGTGTATTGTCAGTACAGATGTTTCACAAGGGAAATTGTTTGGTGCCTATTTAATAAACAAAATAAATAATAATCTCTTATTTTTTAAATTAAATCTTTATGTGACAACACAAACCTTTGCAATTTCAATGTCTTCAACTGCTATTCCAGATAAATGATGTAACTTTTCTTTTAATTCATCTATTGTCAGACCTAAAAAGAAAAAAAATATATACTAAGAGTGGATAGTCAAAATAGGCCAAAGAAATAAAATATTGAAATAAAAAAATATATATTTAGGAAGAAATAACATGAAATTACCAAGAAAGTTGTACAATGCAGTTGAAATACAAAAGTCCGAAATTCAAACACAAATTATTCAAAATTTTAGTATCAAAGTGTATGTAACAGTTTTTACTAGATTTTAATAAATTTTATCTAGTTTTTACTAATGTAAATAAATTATAATGTCCGGAATGAAAAAAGTTATTTGAGAAAATGTAAAAAAGTGGCCCAAAACCATATATTGCATGTTATAGAAATACTAAAGTCCGCATTTCAACTACGAATTATTCAAAATTTCAATTAGAAAGTGTATGAAACTATTTTACTAGATTTTTGTAAATTTTATCTAGTTTTTATTAATGTAAATAAATTATAATGTCCCAAGTAAAAATTAAAAGTTATATGAATAAATGTAAAACTAGCTGTAAGTGGAATTCTGTCTTGAGGCAATTATGGCATCATGCCTTAAGGCAAATTGCTGGAACTTCCCGTACCGTAACGAAATGGAATACTAAATGTTTCTGAAATATTTTCGATATACAAAAAACTAAAAAAAAAAAAAAAAAATGACAAATTTTTTTTTTAAAATCAATTATTTTGTTAAGACAAGCAGAAAGTTCTTTGAATCATTTAAATCGGACGCTTAGTTCTCTCAAAAACTGCCATTATTTACATATTTAGCTCCGTATCTTCGAAATGGTTGGGCCTGCCTTCGCCAAAAACTAATAAATACTTCTCCCAGTCATTACTAATTGAATGTTTTTTAGATCATTCAAATCGGATACTCCGTTCTCTCAAAAATTCGATTTCTATTTTTTGCAATCTTTGCTCCGTATCTCCGAAACGGCTGGACCTGCCTTTGCCAAAAACTAATCAGCTCTTTTCCATATCAATAAGAATCGAATGTTTTTTGAACCATTCAAATCGGTTGATCCGTGCGCCCTAAAACGTGACTGGAAATTTGTATCCATACATACATACACACACATCCATTTTTTCTGAGGTATGCCAAAACGTTCAGAAACCTTCAAAACGTCGAGAAATGTAAAAATTTTCAATTCCGATTTTCGGCCCATTACAATAACTGACCCTAAGGGAAGTTAAAAAATGTCCCAAATCCATATATTGCAAATTGTCAAAACACTAAAGTCTGCATTTCAACCACGAATTATGCAAAATTTCTATATACAAGTGTACACAATAGTTTTTACTAAATTTTAGTAAATTTTATCTAGTTTTTACTAATGTATAAAAATTATAATGCCCAGAATGAAAATTAAAAGTTATTTGAAGAAATGTAAAAAAAATGTCCTATATTCACATATTGCTAATTATCAAGATATTAAGTATACTAAATACTAAAATAAACGTGGAAAAATTAAATCAATTGAATCTAAACAAAACTATTAACTCTTTTAACCGATTTTAAAGTTAGTAACAATCAAACAGTTAAAAATACCCTATATCAGGTATTTTTACCTGCCACATTCAAAAAGTGTTAATAATTATTAAAATTCTTCAACAGTATCACTTAATATTAAAAATAGCTTTTAAATTTAACGAGATCCATAATATTGCAACAAAAGTGTTAAAAAAACTATTTCATCTACTATTCAACTACAATTACTATTCAATTTCTTACCATCAAGCACGACTTCTTGAAAATCGTCCAATTTCAATTCAGAAGGCCTCCATCTCTTGACAAACAGCACCAGTTGATCCGGATTAGTTTTGATTTCAAACGAATGAGGTGTTGCGTTATTTTCTACACAATTAGACGATTGTGCATTTCCATGTAAGGGCAACAGGTCCTGAATGAATATTTCCCAATTAGAATACAGTGAAATGTCATCCATAAAATTCATTGAATCCAGATAAATTTTGGCGGGGTTCTTCCAATTCTTCTTTCTCACACGCCATCTAGGTAAAAGACACATGAGAATTGTAAATGGTAGTAAATAAAAAATATTATGAGTATAAATACATACCTATCGTAAGGTGGTTCTAACTCAGGATGCCTTTGGAATAGTTCGGCTTTAAATTGAGCCACAGTGTATCGTGTGATAAGATCCATTCGCACAATACTGAAAGGTTCACTGGAGTCTTTCTCTTGTAGTAAATAGATCTTGCCTCGGTATTCACTGGACGTAAAGTTCTGCCCAACTTTATGATAAATACTCTTCATCACTGTAAAAAATATGTATTTGTCTTTGTTATAATGTATAAATATACGCCTACAAAACGTTTTCTAACTAAAACATAGAATCAATTTGAGCTTTAT